CCAAAACAGTGTGGGAGAGGGAATGGAAGATTCCACCTTTACACCCTCAGGTTAACCTCACAGGTTTAATGCCTAAGGTTAGTTTGTTACTGTAATATAATTTTAATATCCAAAAACAACAAAGATTTAATAAAGATTTGAAAATGAAAAAGGGACATACCACGTGACATAACACGTTATTGTGTAGCCATTTCCTTACTGTAAAATTTGTATTGTTAATGTTGATAGTGTTCGATGGAAAATAGTGTCACTAGCGCCCCCTTCATTTCCGGAATGCAATAGTCCCATTTCCATATAAGGTATGGGACTGACGGAAAGGTCTGTCACYGCCCCGTTCTGCATGCTGCAGCGAAGTGTACTTGAAAGAACTGGCAAATAAAAAATTAATGCAATCTGAAATTCATAAAGAGTTGGAGATAAAAAGAGATGTGGGCCAACAGAACCTCAGTCAGAAAAAGAAATCAGTTCTCAGTGCGGCATTTCCTTTTGAAACTTCAGTCAGCACAAACAGGAACGCATGATGYGCAAATATTAGCTGCATTTTCTTTTTCTTACATAATTTTCTTCCTCTGGTAATGGATTTAATATCAGGTCTGTCAAATTTCTCGGGTATGTGCACAAAAAAACATTTCAGTGTAATCTAATTTTTCAGTAAGTCCATCAAACAAAATCAGTCCTCTTTGGGAGTGTCCTGTTCTTGATTGTCATATGAAACTTTTCATGGCTCATCACAGACTCAGGTCTTCATTAAGCTCTGTCCTTCATGACCTCCATATTTTCTGACCAGGCTGAAACAGGCTTCTGCTTCCACTTAGGCTGTAACTCTGAACTGAACAATAGAAGTTCCTATTAAATCTTCAGTTTTTAATTATCTGACCAGGTTTAGCACTATTCTCACAAAAACCATTTCATCCACTTCCTGTTACAGTCTGTGCGTTAATAGTACAATCAATAATAGTTTATATCAGTGCAAGCTGAAAAACTGGACTGAGAAGCAGGAGGTCTAACAAGACATTTATATTTATTAAACTATAGTACCACTAATATACATACATTTCAATATTAAATATGCTAAGTTACTGAACTGTATGTTGGTTTAACAAATAAATATTTACTTACACATTTATAGGAAAACTGGAGGAAGAAGGAAMATAAATTCTAAAGCCGTTAAAGGCCAAGTATTCATTGTAGGAATGCATGTTTCCTGCAGTGTCATACCACAGTTTTAAAACTAAAATTATATTAAGCTGAAAAGGGATGGCATTTTAACAGTTTTGATCAACATATTGCTTTGCTACTTTTAGCTTTCAAGTAACCTTTTACTTCTTGAAGCTTACTCTTATTCTTTTAATACTGTAGCTTTTAGATAGCATTTTGCTACTTTCACACAACATTTGGCTGCTTTTAGCTAGCAAGACTCAGTTTTGCTCAACATATTTTGCAACTTTTAGCTACTATTTTTCTACATGCTTTCTAGTAACCTTTTACTTGTTAAATATTAGTAATGATTTTAATACTTCAGCTGTTTGCTAGTGTTTTGCTATTTTARCTAGCATTTTTGTTACTTTTACATAACATTCTGCTGCTTTTAGCWAGCAAGACTCAGTTTTGATCAACATATTATTTTTGCAACTTTTAGCTACAATTTTTATACTTTTTGTAACCTTTCACTTGTTGAAGCTTAGTAATAATTTTAGCTGTTTGCTAGTATTTTGCTATTTTAGCTAACAGTTTGCTACTTTAGCTTTTAGTTACTTCTTGAAGCTTACAATTAGCCCTATATATTACTTTAGCTTTTAGGTAGTTTTGCTAATTTTAGTTAACATTTAACTGCTTTTAGCTTGTATTCTGCCTTTAGCTTTAACAGCTCTATTTCAGATTTAGCAAATTTTGGCAAAAACATTAAGCACTCAGCGTCCTTGTTGAATCTTTTCTTCTTCTTCTTCTTCTACTTCTTCTTCTTCTTCTTCTTTCTTTTACATCTTTCTTTTACATCTTCTGAGCTACAAACCAAATTTTTTTATAAAGCTCAACTCTGGATTTTGGTTTAAGTTGCTTTTAGTTTATTTTCACAAGGAACATCCCATGAAATACGTTTTGAAGGAACAATGTGAAACTTTTACATCATTACTTGCAAATTTTAGTTTTCTTTTTCCAGCAGAAGATGAAATAAATGGTGTCCCTTTGTGCACACCCTCCTGTCTTCGTTAGAGCCGTCCCTCACAGCTTGYGGGGAAATAATAAGTTTAATTCGAGGACAAGTTCCTTCTCATCTTTCCTGCCTCCAGTGGATCCCCAGCAAAAACACACGTCCACCTTTTAATTTAAAGCAGCTTTGAATGCTTGTCAGACAAGTCATTTATTTTTCACWCACTTCGTGGTGAGAGGAGGAGGCTCAGAATTATAAAGTAGGAAATATTCATTAAAGTGAACATTTCACAAGRTTCCTTTCATGCTCCCAATGTCTTGTTCACCTGTTTTTACTTCCTGCTGCTCTCRAAAACATGGATTCTGTGAAACTTTAAGATGGTATCAGTCTATGCACTGCATCCATAACAATATGCGTCAGTTGAGTGTGAAGGCAGATGGTTACTGATGCAGCAACATTCACTGTCTGACTGAAAAGCAGATGCAGCACAGGAGTTATAATAACCACTGCAGTATGGAAGTATTTTACATGAATAATATTTGAGWAATAATTCTCCAAACAAGATAACGTAATGCCTTATCATAAAATGAAAAGTAATGAAATCAGTGAGTGTCAGAAAGGGATTTCTCCAACAACGGTTGTGTTCAGCTGAGTGCCGCACCCGCTGTTTGTGACTCAATGAAGGAAATGTAGACGGGCAGGAGGGATGAACTCTGACCAAGCGAGAACATACGGGCCGATGGCAAATGAAAAGCAAGAGGATGAAGGCAGACGAGAAGAAAGTGTCAGCTGCTGTTAAGAAAATGTGTGCAAACCTCTGGACACATGTTGGTTCTCGAAGAAAACGGTTCTGCTCGTGTGTGTGTGTGTGTGTGTGTGTGTGTGTGTGTGTGTGTGTGTGTGTGTGTGTGTGTGTGTGACTTCTCCAAACTGGGCTGTTTTCAGGAGGCTGCAGTGTTTTCTTCAGGATTTAATTCATAGTTCATGACTGAAAGGTGAACAATAACAAAAACCTTCAGCTTGTTGGGGGCAATTTGGAGGCAACGGATTAAAATTTGGGTTCAAGATGGCTGCCACAGTCAGTTCACATTAGTGAAAAAAACTAGATTATATCTCCGTCAATTTGACAAACATTGATCATGTGACATTTCAATTTTTTTCAAGCAATATGCATTCTTCAAGAAGTATCATTGTCTTATTTTTCATACGATTTTCCCGTTCTTTGCAACCAATACTTTAAGCCCCCTTTCTCCCAATTCCTCAACCACACTTGCTCTCAGGGATGGGCAACTTAAATGATGGACGAGGCCACAWTTTTTTGTTGACAGTACCAGAGTGCCACAGTGCTGCACACTTACCCAAAGATAATAAAATTGCCATTTTAAAAATGTGTATRTAACTATTTGTTTATGAAACCAACATRCAGTTCAGTAACTTAACATATTTATTGCTCAAATGTATATACAGTAGTGGTTCTATTGTTTAATAAATATGAATGTGTGAAGCAATAAGTAAACACTTTTAAGTGTTTACTTAAACACTTGCACTTCATAAGCTGAAGTGCAACAGCATAAGACGCTTTGAGCGCAAACTCCTGCGTGATTGTGGTTCTTATAAAAAGTTGCYGTTGTTTATTCTTGCGACTTCAGTAAACTTCTCATATTTAGCTTTGTGCAACGTGTTGTAGTGTGGTGGCAGACTGCAGCTCTGAGCAAAGATAGGTTCACCTTGAATTTCTGTGAACAAATATTCTACATCCAAAAATAAAACTTTTTWAAAATTTCATTTTAAAAAGCCCCCCTGAAGCAGCTCCTAAAAGCTTGGCGGGCCAGACAGAAGTCTCGTGGCCCGCGGACCACCAGTTGCCCATCCCTAATCTATAAGGTCTGGGCGTTAGAACTTCAAGATTTAGATTTCTCAAAGCTAGCAGTTGATCAAAGAAACCGGGCTTTTATTGTTAGTCATCACTAGACAGAAACTAAGACGTGTAAAACATCTGTTTGCTGCTAAAGCTGCCATAAACCCACAGGCAACAAGCTGAAGTGTTTCAGATTAGTGCTGYCAACTCATAATCTAAATGCACACTCACTCCAGTGAATTTATGTCTGCAGATTACAGTCATGGATCATCATGTTTATTCCAAAAATAATTATATATTCA